TATTATCGAAATTTTCGAAATAGTAATTTTGAATGACTTATTTTGACAAGTCGTAGCATTTGCTATACCCCAAGTAATTTTGCATCCGAAAATTTACATGGGATATGACTTTTTTAGATGTAAAATTTCGAAATTTTTTATGTCATATTCCATATAAAATTTCCTAATAAAATGATGAAAATTATATTGAGAAATTTGTATTGTAAAAATAATAAATATTAATGAAATAATTGAATTTTTTTTAAAAAAATGAGAGTTAATCGTCTTTCTTTAAAACTCGCGTTTAGTATTTTTAACTATTTTCGATATCTGTTTGAATTATTTAATATGCCTATAATGTAGTTCTCAAAATAAGTTTCGAGATAATATAAGTAATTTGTAGATTCGATTAGCGTACGATCGTCGAAGAATTTTTAAAGTTAGCATATTATCGAAATTTTCGAAATAGTAATTTTGAACGACTTACTTTGACAAGTCGTAGCATTTGCTACGATTGATCGTTTCATACGTCATTAACGACGTAGAAAACTAGACTTTGAACACTTCAAAATGGTATTAAGAATGCAATATTTCACCCTTGTTTGATGGAGAGTTAAGATTCTGTTAAAAGTCGAGAGAAAAAAAGAAAAATTAAAATTTATTGTGATTTTTTCCCTATTTGATGGAGATTAAAATCAAATTTTTAGTAAATCTTGATAAAAGTTAAATAATTATGGATTCCAAATATGTTATTAAAATTAACTGTTAATTTTGATTTAAATTTAAATTTATATTTCAATCCATACCAAACGTGATATTATATATTAAAAAAAAAAAAAACTCAAAATTTGGTGGGGAGGGGAGGGGGGACCTGCCCCAGGACCCCGGGTCCGCCAATGATTGCAAGATTTGATAAATATTGCAGATTGAAATCAACAAAAGTCGATACATAGTCTCGAGTGGAGTTTATGGAAATTTCAACTTCTTGCTCTTTTGACTACTTTAATTTGAAAATTCCACCTTGGAGGAAAAAAACTTAAGTTTGATACAACGTTGAGATGTAAAAGAGTTGATAATTTGAAGGATGTATTTTACGTTTTGTCCATGCACAAGTTTTTTAGAACAGCGTTTCTCAGTGGATGTCAAACGGGGGCTTAGTATTCAATCCTAAACAAAAGAAATCCCAAATCGGTCTGTTCCCTTCTTCACTGTTGACGGCTAACTTTAACTGCACCTGCTAACTTCAACAGCTTCCATCGCTGTTCACGGGCAAGGAAGATTATCAGGTCATTTCTGTCACTCATAGTATTTTCTGGTGTTTTTGAATTACTCTTAATTTGTTTTTTCCACTTTCCGTTTGATTTCATTTGAAGCCATTCTCTTTCTGCAATTTTGGATGTTGTCTCCATTAAAGAACTTCCTGAAATCGTTTAAATCAGATTTGGAGGAAAAAAATTAAATTTTTAGAATCTGTTTCTGCAACTAACAATGAGGTGCAAAATATTGTTATGATTAGTGAAAGAAAAGATTGCTCTTGATGTTGTAGTTGCATACTTTTTAAACGACTTTAAATTAATACATTCCGTTTATTGATGCTAAGATTTTAAAATCTCGTTATTTAATTACAGATATGGACTCAACATTATGGATTGCTGTATTTTATTTTGGTGATTTTGTTCATGACGATCAAGGCTAATGGGCGTGGAAACGCAGTGGGAATGATGAGATATTTTGTATGAAGAGCTATTTTATATAAAGTGCTAGACACCTGCAATGTTGATTCATCTTTGCATGAAATTGAGATGAGATTTCTTTTCCTTGCAGCAAATATACAGTTTTCAGTTCCAATCAAGACTAATTAATTCGAACAAGCAAGTACAATGGTTTGTATCTATCAATAATCCACGTTATCATTGTCCCATTTGTACAACCCTTGTGAGCAAAATTCCAGTTGAGCATCCACATGAAGAAGCTAAAGATCTATTTAATGAAGTGGAAGATGATGAAGTTGATTGTGAGATGCAAAAGGAAGTCGATAATCTTGAATGTGAAATGCAAGCTTATGATGATAATGAAGTGGATCGGTATGTGGATGTTTATTGGGATGTATTGGAGATAGCTCAAGACAATAATGTTGATATTGTCATTGATAATTTTAACAATATTGTTTTCTCTACACATGGATCTGAGTTGGTCCGAGATAACGGAAAAGAAAATCTTTTTACAAATGAGCACATTGTCGCTTCAACTCTTACGTCACATGTAATTCTTGAGGATACAAATTTTAGAGACCACCAAATTTCAACACCAAAAAAGTCCTTTTGATTTGAAGTGATACCGAGAAACTGATACAATACAAAGTAGCATTGTTTGGTTGTTTACATTGGACCCTTTTTGATCAAATTTTTTGGGTTGCAAAGATTATTCATTTTTGACTTGTCTTGTGGAGTTGGATTTGCTTTCTACAATTGTGTTAAGAGAGGACTTTTGGCGTGAATTATCCGAGTATTTGATTTGTGGTTATGTCTAACAGAACACCTATTGGGTGTAAAAGCATGAGACAAGGGTATAGTCAAGAAACAAATGATTTACCATTGTTATTTATGATGTTATTCTTGACGCCATTGTTGATGAGCAAAGAAACAATTTGATAGCAACTCCAAATTTTATATATTATTTAATACTATATTAACATTAAATTATTAAAATATATTGAATAATCATATTTTTTAAAAAAAAATATTATTCAAAAATATTTTCAAAATTTCAAAATAAACGCGTTTTTTAGTTTTATNTTCTCAAAATTTCAAAATAAACGCATTTTCTATTTTATGTTTTCAAAAATAGCTTTTCATAATGACAAAAAGAACGCATTTTCAACAATTTCAAAATGAACGTTCAAAACACAAAATACAAAATAAATTCAAAACTCAAAAACAGAAAACTGAAATATAAAGAGAACGGCCCCTTAATATTTCAAGAATTGATTTCTTGTTCCTCTATAAACTCCACAAAATTTTGATAGTCCAGTCTTTGATGGTATGTTGGTCCTAGAATTACAGTTCGTCGAAGACACTTGCCTTTTGAATGATGGCTTCTTCTCACAACTTCAAAATTTATATATTATTTAATATTATATTAATATTAAACTATTAAAATTTATTGAATAATCAGATTTTTTGAATAAAATATTATACAAAAATATTCTCAAAATTTCAAAATAAACGCGTTTTTTATTTTTATATTTTCAAAAACAGCATTTCATACAATTTCAAAATGGACGTTCAAAACACAAAATACAAAATGAATTCAAAACTCAAAACAGAAAATTGAAACACAAAGAGAACGGCCCCTTACTATTTCAAGAATTGATTTCTTGTTCCTCTATAAACTCCACAAAATTTTGATAGTCCAGTCTTTGATGGTATGCTGGTCCTAGAATTACAGTTCCTCGAAGACACGAGCCTTTTGAATGATGGCTTCTTCTCTCCTCCATGTTTGAGGTTGTTTTTGTTTATGCACGATGCAAATGACGAAGTCAGATTCTATCGTATATCAGAGGCAATTTTTCTTTCCCGTATGTATCACTAGTATTGGAGGCAAATATCATCTTATGGAGAGTATCAACATGCGACTTGAAATGTATTGAAACTTAATTGTTCGGGTTTGATTCAAGCTATTATAAGGCAATCCCATGAACCTTGCATAGTGAATTTAAAAACTATTTCTTGCTAATTCATTTAGAATGATAAACGTACTATTGTTGCAAATGAATAGCGCGTTTCGCACAAATAAAAAAATTGATTAAAATTTAAATCAAAGTTTAATCATTCTAAAAATCATTTAATAATTAAATTAATACATACCGAAAATCTAAAATTATAAAATTCTATATTATTATTTACTTAATAATTCCTACAATTAGTCAATTTTCAAGTTTTCAAAATACAAAAACCAGAATATTTTTCATAGTTTCATCTTTCAACTAGAAAAATCCTACTTAACAGATTTATAGGATTTTCATACATATCTTCGACGTTTTCAACGGTACGATGTTTCTCAAAATCATAATTACATAATATAGATAGTATATAGCTTAAATCTTATTTAAAATATTTATCAAATAAAGTCATTTTTTTTTACTTTTGTACAGATAAAGTCATTTGAAAATTTGAAATTAAAAATCAAATAAAAGCCTTTTAAAAAGGAAAGAACAAAAAATTAAAAAAGTGCAACTAGTCGTGCCTTGCGCGCATTAAGATGTCAACTTAGAAGTTGATCGCTTAATTCGCGCTTACGTCAAAGTAAAGAGTTTTGTCCGTGCTTCTCCCCGTCTAGGCGCGCTTGTTAGAACATAGCGTCGATTGTATATTACTAAGAAATGATTCCAAGTCATTATATTTTTATAGTTATAATGTAAATTAGATGGACATAAACACGAAATAATTTCATTCTCATCTTCTTAAACTCATAAAATGAAATTAGATAGCGGAGTATTCCATAATTTCCATCCCAACTTATACACAAATGCAATTAAGAGTAAACAATTGTGTACAAAGAAAAAGGTGAAGAAAATAATTTCATTTTTCAGCCCCATTTTTCTCATTGTTGACAATTAAATAACGGAATTATATCAGGTAGAAACGGGAAACTAATAAGAGTATCCTTAAATCTTTTTTCTATCTAAAAATTGTAAACGTAGATTAATTCTTGACCCAATATGGAAACTATCTGCATGCAACGTACGTAAAAACACTTCAGACGCGCTTATAATCTGATTTCAAACTGGATTCAATCAAGTCAAAGCTTTACAATCATTCTCTAATTCGAATTCATAGTTCTATCAAGAATGTAATTGCTATTTCCTATAAAGGGCAGAAAATATTCATCACAAACCCCACATTCTCTTACAGTTTTGCTTCAAGTTTTCCGTTAAAAGAATTCGTCAGAAACCCTTTTTTTTTCTTTTAGTTTTAGTTTTGCTTCAAATTTTGCCTTCTCGTTTAAGAAAATTCATCATAATGACAGGAGCTCAAATTTCATACGAAGACACGGATCATCACTGGAGAAAAGACTACATTCTTGGTTCAGGTACGTATGGTACCGTGTATTTCGCGTCAAAGCTCGATTCTCGTCTTTCCCTTTCTCCTCATTCCCTTTCCGTGGCCGCTGTGAAGTCCGGTAGTGCTTATTTGTCTTCACTGAAGGAGGAGGGAGAGATTCTGCACGAACTGAGAGGTTGCCCCGAGATCGTCCAGTGTTTTGGAGCAGATATAAGTTTTGAAAACAATAGAGACGTCTTCAATCTTCTCCTTGAATACGCACCCGGTGGATCCCTCGCTGATCTGATAAAAAACAAAGAAGGAAAAATGCCAGAATCTCACATTGCATGTTACACTTATATGCTGCTTAAGGGTCTCTCCCACGTTCATGAAAAAGGGTTTGTTCATTGTGATATGAAACCTGATAATATACTCGTTTTTCCCAATGAACATGGTAGTACCATACACAGTCTCAAGATAGCAGATTTTGGATTGGCCAAGAGAAGTGAAGAGGAGGAAGAGTTTATTCCAGGGTCATCGAGCTTCAACAGAGGCGCACTGCTATATGCTTCCCCAGAATCCATATCTAAAGGGATACACAAGCCCGTTACTGATATATGGTCTCTTGGTTGCATTATTGTGGAGATGATCACAGGCAAACCCCTTTGGACTAGTCGGAATGCACGAGATTTGATCGATGAAATTAAGTTTGGTCATCCAAATATACCAAAAAATATTTCGTATTGTGCGGAAGATTTCTTGAAATTGTGCTTGATAAAGAATGAGTATCAGAGATGGACGGCCAACATGCTATTGAATCATCCATTTATTTTCATGAATCTGTCAGCATTGCCACTAAATTTTAAGAATCCAGTGCTGCCTAATCCCTTTGGATCCGATATGCAGGCCTATAAATTGGACTTATTTTCCACACCATCGAAGATTGAAGAACCTACTGATCATTCAGTTTATGTATAGCTAGAAATCAGAAACATTCATTTATTGTAAAAATTGTGATGGGCTCGTACAAGTTAGAACTTCATTTTGAGTAAAATTTTGTTTAATTCGTGGAAATTATGCAGTTATTATGGAAAGATCGGGATATTATTTTTTTGTTCGTAAGTTTACAAATTGAAGTTTTGTTTGTCAGGAATTTTGTTTGTCAGGAATTAAGTTCTGTTATCCAAGCATCGGGCTTAATCCGTATAATGGTTATCAGCTACTCGCATTGTAGGTTGTTAATTAGATCTAACTTTCAATGAATGAATTGCCTGTTAGCAAGTCTCCCTGTTTTTGGGATCGTGCAATTTGGATCAAAAAGTATATATTTTCATCATTCAATGCACTGCCCGAGATTTTTTTATGTTTAAGGAAAATTAAATATTCTCATGAGATAGAAATTAAGTTCTTTTTTGTTGTTGTCATTTATGATATCTCTGTCTTGAGATTTTTCAAAACAGTGAAACGCATTTTCTTTCCTATTTTCGAAAACGCGTTTTTTGAAAATGAAAAAATAATTGCACTGAAAAGGGAAACGTCCAAAAGCACGTTTTGATTATTTTGAAGCCAAAAAACGGTAATTTTCAGAAAACACGGGAAATGACTACTCTCTCTCTCTCTCTCTCTCTCTCTCTCGCTCTCTCTCTCGTAACATAGGGCTTCCTCTGGTTTTCCTTTTACTCTCTCACAACCCCACAATCCAAAATTTCTTTGAGCGCGGGTTTTCTACTGGCTCTTTCAATTTGGTTTCGCCTCTAGTTTTTTGCTTGCTATAATCACAAAGTTTCACTTTTAATACTGAGGCGGCTTGGATAATTGTGGGGGCGATGAATTCGCAGGGGGATAGGTAGATGAAGGTAGAGGTGGAATTTCTGGTGATTGTGTTGGTGGTGGAGGACCGCCGGTGGATCGTTATTTGGTGGCGTTGGTTGCCCTGCAGACGGTATAGATGATGGCGATGGACGTGACTTTATCCGTGGCTTAGTTGATGGAGATGGTGGTGAAATTGCAGGGGCATTAGGATAGTGGAGGTGGTGAGCTAGCTGGAGGATTAGACGCAGGTGGGGACGGTGAGCTAGCTGGTGGGTTAGGCAGAGGTGGATGTGAACTTGAAAGAGGGATAGATGGTGGTGGAGGACTGGAAGATGTAGGCAGTATATTGGCCGACGATAGAGAGTGTAATACCCAGACTAGGAAAGCTTAAAAGATTTGATAGGTACTACTCATATCAACAAGGTGCACTTTCTTTTCCGAAATTCATCGTTAGAAACTCTACAGTTAAGCGTGCTTGGCTTGGAGCAATTCTATGATGGGTGACCCCCTGGGAAGTTTTCTCAGGGAGCGTGCGAGTGAGGACAAAGCATGCTGAAAAGACCCATGTTGGTACAGTGAGGACAGTACGTCGTCGATCTAACGATCGGGACAACCCGTTAAGTGGGACCCGGGTCGTTACAAATGGTATCAGAGCCCGGTTGCCAGCCGGAAATCGGGAACTAAGTACTATGTGGGACAAAGTGCTATACTAGGGCGGGAGCCACCTCTTAAACTCGTAGGAGCCACCTCTAGAATCTCAACGCCTGACAACGAATCCTCAGATATATCAAGCACGATGAGGACGTCGCGAGTCTAACGGGGGGTGATTGTAATACCCAGACCAGGAAAACTTAAAAGATTTGATAGGTACTACTCATACTAATAAGGTGCATCTTCTTTTCCTGAAATCCATCATTAGAAATTCCACAGTTAAGCGTGCTTGGCTTGGAGCAATTCTATGATGGGTGACCCCCTGGGAAGTTTTCTCAGGGAGCGTGCGAGTGAGGATAAAACATGCTGAAAAGACCCATGTTGGTAAGTGAGGACAATACGTCGTCGATCTAACGGTCGGGACAGCCCGTTAAGTGGGACCCGGGTCGTTACAGAGAGGGTATAGGCTAAGGAGAATAAACTAATTTTAGTAGGTGGAAAAGACACATGAGGTGAGGACAAAGGCAGAAGTGGTGGAGAATTAGAAGAAGTTGGTGGAACGACAAAAAATTGGTATGGAAGAAGGTCCATTTTTTGAATTGAGTAAAAATTGGTAGGGTGCGGGTTTGGAAGAATGTCCATTTTTGTAATGTCCATTGCCAACCATTGGATCCCTTTGTATTTACTCTCCAATAAGTTGGTTAAGGAATATGAAACTGTCGTGACCTTTGCTTTAATAGAACACTTTTATCTATGGTTGCCAAATTGCAGTAAAGTGAAATCAAATGACACTAGCCACTAGGAACTCACTGATGAAATGTCACAAGGTTGATGGGTTTAGAAGAAGTGAAAGTTGGTGGTTTGGCTAATATGGCAAAACTTTAAATGAGTTGATGCACACTACATGGTTAATTTCATATGTACCCTGAATTTGTGGGGGGTAGCATTGCGCTATATTATTGTGTGTTTTGCACGTATCGGTCTTTTCCATCGAGGCATATTTTGTGACTAGGGCAACGTGTTGTGACTCATGATCTCAATTTGGGTCTATGTTAAAAGATGTGGTCATGTATATGCCCAATTAAAGTTGGGCCAACAAGGTACTAAATAAGATTGCAAATATTGCCCGTGAATGAAGATTTTGTATGCAAATGGCTATAAAGAAGGACACAATTCCCATCTTTGATAATCAAACATAACTTCTCTTTTCTGTATAAACTATTTTTTTGGGAATCTATGAAATTAGTTTGAATTTGTTACTTGCTTATATAAGTGATTCCCGTATGGTTTTAATGATTAATGTCTATTTTTTAGTCATAAGCTACAAAGATAATGAGAAACCAGAATATTTGAAGGAGTGGAGTTCGTCATAAACACAAAAGATTCGGTATGGATTTTCCTCTCTGTTGCTGCAAATTCTTATTTCTGTATTCAACACAACTAAGAAAATAATAAATGAAGCCCTTGTTTGGTACTTTTATCTTTTAGTTAGAGGTAGGATAGTGAGATTTTTACTTAGAGTTGATGTACATGTGTCTATGGAAGGACTTATACATTTCGTGATAATTTGATTTATATTGATTATAGAATATGGGTGGTCACAGAGTTAGGAATAAGGAACCAATATCATGTTCGGATGAAAATGAAAACGCTTTTATCAAAAAAAATTTTACAAGAAAGTGAAATCAAACGTATTACAATATTCTACATTCACGAAAGACGAATGTGGCAGAATCAATGAAACCATGGTAGTTTCAACAAAAATGGACTACGGCATAGATAGATTAAATGGAATATAGAACCACTTACGTAAAATTCATCGCATGTTTTCCGACTACTTCAAAATTTATATGTTATTTAATACTATATTCACGTTAAAGTATTAAAATTTATTGAATAATCAACTTTCTTGAATAAATTATTATTAAAAAAATTCTCAAAATTTCAAAGTAATGTTGTTACCCTCCAGAATTGGAAGCTCCAAGTCAGCAGTCCGCGTGGACAGCCATGTATTCCCTTTAAGCAGCTGGATAGAAAGTCAGTTGAAAAGTTAATGGGGGAGCCAACACAGGCAAGATCAACAAAAGGCTCCTAAGTCCGAAGCTCCTTCATGTGAAAGCAGAGGCTCCTTGAGTCTGAAACTCCTTCGTTTAAAGGCAGAGGCTCCTAAGTCCGAAACTCCTTCATGCGAATACAGAGGCTCCTTAAGATCGAAGTGCTGAAACTTAACACAAACGTTTCCTCAAAGCAGACTTGAAGATCTCTCAGAACTGATTGACGTGACATCTGTCATAAAGTGTCTGTAGTGTTAATGTGTGTCAGTGAGTCAGACTACAAAGTAGAACAGCGAATCTTCTGCAAAACATTAATTGTAAAGGTTGAACATTAATGTGAGGCTTCAGTCTAGGAGATGTCGCCACGTGGATTTGATCTAACGGTCACCACGTCAACTAGATTAGTATAAATAAACCCCTCATTGTATAGAAGAGGGGGACGGAGAATCACAAAATAACATATTTACGCACTTTGCTTTGCTTGATCTTGAATAATACAACTTATATTGAGATCATAATACATTACAAGACATTCTCTTTTATTTATCATTTCACATATTCCATTACAAAACATATATTCATTTTAGGGAAATCGATCGAGCACTTATTGATAGCGCAATGGCCGTTTAAATCAAACCACCGGAGCTTGAACGTTGTGTCTCTTGTCGGAAAGCACCTCTCGCTTTCCATCCAACTATACTACTGCTCATGTTCCGGTAGAAATGCGCCGGATCATTGCTTGACATGGCAAGGTGGGCACGATATTTGTTGAGTTCATTTTTTGGGGTCTACAAATGCATTTTCCACTTTTCTGTTTTGAAAAATAATTTTTCAGAATGACAAAATGAACGTATTTTCGACAATTTCAAAACAAATATGCAAAACACAAAATTCAAAATGAATTCAACTTGAGCAGTGTACACACTGTAACAATACACTAATTTTGAATGGGAAATGACATGTGTACATCATAATTCACGTTGTCTTTGTTTTAAAAAATTGTTGGTGGAAAATCTTTTTTTTAAATGTCAAATGATAGTTTGTCATGTGGTCAACTATCAAACTTGATGTAGAACACTTTGATGTATACCAAATGTGATTGATTTCCAAAAGAAATACTAATATGGATTTCATTTCAATTGCATTCGAATAAGTAAAATTCAATTTTTTCAGCCCAACTCTTTATCATTAAGCTAGGGATGGCAAAAAAACCCGACACCCGCGGGGACCCGCCCCGAAAGATTTTCAGACGAGATGAAATGGTGAATTTGTTGGGATGAAAAGGGTGTATGAGTCTTTTACTTGATGGGGATATTTTAGACAAGTTGCAATGTTTATTTATTGTATTTTTTAATTAAGGCTATTTGACCAATAAACATTGACAAAGGGTCTTTTTTCCAACTACTTGGTTTGACCGGGTGTTTTAACAAAGAATCCCAACTTTAAATGAGTTGATGCACA